ATTTCTTTATTATCATCAGCATTTTCTTTGTTTATTTTTTTTAATTAATTTAGATGTTCATATCAGTTTACACTTTGAACCATTGAGTGTGACGAATGAATTTCATTTCTTTATTATCATCAGCATTTTCTTTGTTTATTTTTTTTAATTAATTTAGATGTTCATATCAGCTTACACATATCTCGCTTACATATATCTCGACTAATCCTAGAAACTTTGAAATTGAAAATTATATAAGCCTCTAATTTTCATCATATTAGCAACCATAAAATTCAAACTTGAAATTATAAGGAAAGCAAACCTACTAATTGTTTTTCATTGTTTGTTTTATTAGCATGCATGGTTGGTTGTTTCTGTATTGATTAACAATTCTTTACTTTGATTATAACCAACATATTGTTTATCTTTATTCTATTCTTTATTCTAAGTTTTTAGTTCAAGCAATGAACTTTGTTTAGTGATATATTAGTGATGGGTATAAGAGCATAGTTTTTATTTTTTTATGCAAAATTTAATAAGCAATAGCGTGGGCTGATCCTTTCTCTAATACAAAGTCGGGTTTCATCTGTTTGCTATATATGTTTTTGTTCAATATCACCTAGAAAATAACTAAACATTCTAAAAACTTTTTTAATTAATCATCCATTCATGCATAATGATTATTCGATGAATAATATAAAATTTTAAATTAAATTATTTTTTTAATATAATATTATAGTTTTGTTAAACAATCAGTTATAAATTTAAATTTTATTATTTTTATTATATTTAATAAAATTAATAACATAAAATAATCTTTCACTTGAGAAGAGGAATATATTAAAAAATAATAAAATAAAAAATAACATAAATTATATTTTAAAAATAACTTAATTGATGGAGATAGTTCTAAATAATTATTTGAGCTATATTCCATAACATCAAATTCGAAGGAAGAAGACAACCAAAACATGTTCTACACATTATACATGGTTAATTATATTTTCTTTAGAGAATTGCTATCTTTTGCTGCATTGAGATTCTCTTAACAAATTTGGAGTCTCTGACTATAAAACTGAATACAGCAAATGTATACTGAAAACTCGAACCCATCTTGAAAACTCGAACCCAAAATGTTATTAAGTGTTGGACCAATCTTATTCTTTTATCAATTGTTGGACCACATCTTGAAAACTCGAACCCAAAATGTTAAATAAGCAGCTTCCTAGAGCTTACGTGGGGCACAGGATGGTCAATGGATGTTTGCTTTCACTATAGAGTCTACTTTCTGAACTTGTTTTACTCACTTGACCCTTACTGATCAGAAAAGTGCCTCCTCACAAAAAACATGGAGAGCCAACACTGCTAGTAAAACTTAATTTTCACTTCCCGAGTCACCAAGTTGTTGTGTGGTTTTTATTTAAGTTTTTTTTTTTCTAATATCTTTTTATTTTACTTCAAGTTGTTTCTTGGATGGTAGATAGCAAGTTGTAAAGATTCTGCATTAAACTACCAAGTTGGCAAGACCCAGATGATGTTAAATTTTGAATCAATCTTGATGAAAAAACATCTGTATGATCTTTGGATCTGCCATGTGTTGGGAATTTCGATACCATGAACAACATAATTAAGAACTAATGAGAATAACCCTACAGATATTCATGGATTAATCACTAATATGAAAAGTTAAAGAGAGCTTAAAAAAGGAAAAAGACAAGAGGGATCACTACCTGGAAACCTAACTAGAGCTCATTAATTAAAGAAACGAAGACCAACTTAATACAAGTGGATCAGAGAGCTGTGGTGATGAAGAGGACAGCTTAAATTTATTTAAAGAAGTGCTTGACTTAACCATGGATGGCAATGGCATCCCAACTATCAGACAGAAAACGATCTATCATCTTCATGCTTATACACCATCACATGTTCTAGGCATTGGTGGGTCTATTAATGCCTCTGGTCCATTTTTTAATGGACTAGCAACTTGTATTACCAGTTCTACAGTCCTTGGATAGGAAATACACTGAAGTTTCCAGTTTCTGCCACATTAAAAGCTTGTCATGATCGTACTTTTTTCTTCTATCTCTGGATCTTTTTTTCCCGAGGGCTTGTGAATTGTGATGTTCATAAACAGTAGGCATAAGGGCATGTGTTTGCACAAATCTTGTGCATCCTCGTAGTCCAGGTGTGTATCTCAGTACCAGGTAAAGTTATTAGGTTTGAGATTTGCACTATATGTGGTCCCTTATTAGGTTCACCGCTAAATACTAATAAATTATAAATCTAATAAGAAAACCCAATTTAGGGTTTTTCAAATAGGGCTATTCAACCATTCTTTGAAATAAAATTAAATATTACAAGTGTACCTATCAAAAGGGTTATGAGATGCCCTTGAGTTGCTGTCTTGCTGATACCCAAACCCAGAAGTCACGGTGCAATTTGCAGTATAGAAAGCTACAAGGAAGCATTTTCTATAGCTTGATAATGTTCTATTATTATTTAATGATATTATACAGTGTATATGACAAAACAAGGCAGCCAAAGCATGGTCAAGGAGGGGGAAAAGGAGTGAATGACAAGGAATACTTTTAAAACACATTATATGTTGAGAATCCTTGAATGTGGAACCCATATTGTATATGTTAATAAAAACAGCAAACTAGATTAGCGGATAATGAGATAGCTAATCAATTATCATACAGAAATAACAAGAATGATGAGGAAGAAAGTTTGTATTTTTTTTTATTATTAATATGAATATCTAGATCAATTTAAATTCAATTAATTTATTAAATAGCTAATCTTGAAATTAATAACTATGTAAATATCTAATAACTCTAAAATTTATGAACTTGAATCAATAGTTTATAAAAAATAAATCTAAAGTCTGAATTGCACCCCTCAAAGTTAAAAATTTTATACTTTTAATTGCAAAAAAAAAGATGATGAGTAAACAGCAACAAGAATAAACTTTAACTCTAAGATTTTGTAGTTTTTCCTTTTCCTTTCTTCCCCTCTCTTTTTGGGGGCATCTGCAATGATTGCAGAAACCTTATGTAATGAAGCACATGGAGATAACAGGAGCGGTTGTTTTTGTAGTTTAAAATATTTTTTAATAATTTTTTTTAAAATGTTTTTTTGTATAAAATATATTAAAAATTCATTTTTAAGTGTTATTTTATAATTATAATATATAAACATTAAAAATTTAAAAAATATTTTAATTTATTTTTAATTTAAAAAAACTTTGAAAAAATACTATATATCACGCATGATAAGTTATATGCCACATTAATGTAATGGCTTCATAAAATGATTTATGTTCTGAGAGTTTATCCAATGGGCTTTTTATATATATATAGAAAATCTAATTCGAGTGTAAGCTGGCTTTGGGCTAACATTGGTTTGGACAGATTGAATTTTAGCATTTAGGCCCAACCTTAAAAAGTGACAATTCTTATGTTAGTGATTAATCAAATTTTGGTTTTAGGGCCGATTTTCAATGGGTTTCGGAATTAAGCCATTTTCACCTCCTAGTGGGCTTGTAATCTTAGGTTATTAGATTGAATGAGTCGAGGCTCAATATTCAATAAATGAATAATCATAAAAAAATTACAAAAAACAAATTAAAGATTTACAATGGCAAACATTATTTTCTTTTCGCCTCCAAATTGTTTCAATAGCCATAAACAACATATTGATCTGCTAGCCCTGCTTGCCATACCTTAAGAAAAATAACCTAGGTAGGCCTAGGTATTATTATTTATTTATTTTAAAAAAAAATGAGCAACCTATCGTTGCTTTATATTTTGGAAGTGATTAGAAAATTAAAGTTTATATTTTGTATCCAAAATCTAATATTCGACTTGTTTTTATTTAAAAATATCTTCAAAATACTATATAAATCTAAAACAACATTAACCATCCTTAAATCACTCTAAAAAACAAAAATTAATTGAATCAAAATAAACCAAATGGAATTAAATTTATTTTTTCAGCCATGTGTAGAGAAAAAACCATATTTATTGAACTTCTTTAAAGAAGATCAACTCATTCTCAGAAATATCCTTATTATTTATGGTCGAAATGTGTCCAACCGACAACTTCTTTTCTCTTTCAATGTTTTTCGGCTAACAAGTTTTTCTCTTTTCTTTTAAAATTAGAGACTAAAAAATAAATAAAATGAGTTTTTAGACCAAAATAAAAAATTATAAAACTTTGAGTTTGGTCATGGATTTTCTGTGTTCTACAAAATGGTCCTCTCTCTTTTATATTTGTCTTAATATCTATTATAATTTAAAATTTATTTCATGGAATTAGGTGGAAAATATATATATAAGGTAAGGTAATTCACTGTTCATAACCATCAAAACCCCCCAAAGTTTATAGTGTCTTAGTTAATAATAATTAATTAATTATCCAACATTGCTTATGAATTTTTACTTCTTAAACATGCCTCAAACATCCATCGAAAATAACAAGACAAAAAAAAAATCCTCCCCTTTTAGCAAAGCATAGCATTACCTTCATAAATAATATGAGTCATAAATTCCAATTCAAAAATGAGATAACGTTGTTCTAGGAAAGTGCTCTACCAAGAAATTGGAAATCAATTAGTCCATAGGAATTTATTTGTTTCTTTCAAAAATTTGAAAGTGATCTCCATAGTCTACAAGCTGGCATTTAAAGAACTCCTGGACGATGAATATTGAATCTGAGTATTAATTAATTGGAGAATTAAGATAAAATTCAACGATTTGATTTCTCTTTTTGGAGAGGATTTAAAGATTAGTAATCCATTTACCTTAATTGAGAATTTTAATATATAGAAAGAAAAAAAGAACAATTCAACTTTGCAATCTAATCTCATCTATCATTCTTAAAACAGCAGCAGCATGACAAGAATATATTCCTAAGAATTAATGTGATTATATATATATATATATGACCGTGAATATTGTCCTAAGGTGCACAATATTCTAAGATCTTATAGCTCTTTCGCTCCTCCATTTTACCTGAAAATGCAGCGTTCTCCATTTGTTTTCGTTGTCACTTTGTTTATGACCATTGTTTTGGGCGTCTCTCAAAATGTAACTTGTGTACCAGGAACGGGTGGGTCAAAAGTTGCGAGGACCATAGTTGTTGATCCATCCGGAAGAGGGAATTTCAAAACAATTCAAGGTGCCATTGACTCCATTCCAACAAATAACAACAATTGGATCAAAGTTCAAGTCAATGCAGGCATCTACATGTAATACTCTCTCCCATTACTACGCTCTTAACTTTGCAAATTTTCTTTTTATGAAGAAACTTTGTGAATTTTTCTGCTTAAAGAGTAAGTCACGGATTATGATACTGATGTGCAGAGAGCAAGTGAACATTCCGATCGAGAAACCATGTATTTTTCTCGAAGGAAACGGTCGCGGCCGAACCACAGTTACTGACAACGCCCACCAAGACAGTGCTGATTGCGCTACATTTACCTCAACGCCAAGCAATATTGTAGTCAGGGGGGTAACCTTCGAGGTAAGAGTTTTGCTTCCTGTTCATCTTTTTTCCATTGTTTTTGGGTTGATCATATACATTTTTTTCCTTAAAATATTCAGAGGTTATGTCTTGAATTTTACTTTAAGAAATTATTGTCTTTTTTATTTTTTATTTAAAAAAAAAACTCTCAATCAAAATTTACTTAATTGAACTATTTTAGAAGGTAAGAAAAAGGATAAATTAAGTAATTTTCATATAATCTTTAATGTAACACTCTGAAATCTCAATTTCATTTCCTTTCATTTAGTTATATTATAAACAAGAAATTAAACAATAACTTTTTTTTCCATGGATATCTCTCCTCCGTCCTTGTATATCATAAAATACTATTTCATAATCGAATATCAATCATCAAGGCTTTTTAATTAATAAGGTGCGAAATTATCCATTATAACAACTATAGTTTATATTGCATGCAATTTAAATGAATACACAAAGAAGTATACAAATCCTTAGATTTTAAGACTTTACTCATATTTTACTCCCCCACCCCCAACCCCCGACCACTCATTAACATCAAAGTGAAAAGATGAAGTGACAAATATCTACCTGCTCATCTGTGTCTATAAAATACATTTAATTGATAAGTCATATCATTTATTTACTTAAAAAATTCTCACTTTAATTTTCTTTTAACTTTTTTTTACTAAATAATATTCCTCGTCTTTTTTCTTTAAATTTCAATATCAAAATTTTACATGTTTATTGAACACACACATGCAAATCAAAATCTTATCCTTAATAAACATACATCCCATGCACACATTTATATTTTTTACAACCAAAGAGTAAAATCAACATATACTTATTTGGTATATATGCACACAACCATTTGTATTATTATTTTTCACCTATACAAATCGTCATCCTTCTTCATTTATCCAATGCCAACTCATTTTATTTATAAACCTTTTTTATAAATCTACTAACAATTTTTTGATTCCTAATAACAAGTTCCAAAATCATTTCCACATATTATCTCTTCCATTTACATGCAAGAATATTTAATCCATGCAATTATTCAATAAATCAACTAAACCTCCCTTGAAGTTCTTAGTCCAATAATATTGGAAATTCAACTATTAAACACAATAATTAAATGCATTTCAAAGCGTAATTAACACACCAGCACAAACCAAACACACGTAAGTCATTAATGATTTATTTGTCACCCTTTTCTATTTTTCCTTAATGTGGTTGGTCATTAATACTCAGAAAACACCAAATTCTCTTTGTCAAGTATGCGTTGTTTAAGTTCATTTATATCCTATTTCATCCAAAAACAACATCACACTATAATAATTTCTCATTTCTCTCATTTTCTCATTTAAAAAACCCAATTTAGAATTTTTACATCAACTTCATTAATCTTCACTTAGACTTGTACAAATAAGTTTATAACATTTTATTTGACAATAATATGAACTTTGAATGCTAACCAGTCAAGAATTTCAACTCCTTCTTTTATTTTTATTTTTTATCTTTGCTATGAGCTTTTTCTCTTTATTCCATTTTCCACACTTGATTTTTCTCTAAAATCTTGTGTTAATTAGGTTTAAACCCTCACTCCCTCACTATCTTGCCTTCATTTTTGGTTTGTCTTAGGGAGTTTTAATAGTGGATGCTCTCACAATTATTTTTCCTTTCATTTTTTTTTTTTTTGCTAATTCTGGTTTCTAGTTATAGGAGAAAACGAAGCTAATTTTTTAGTTTTCTATCTTAATTATAAAATTACCATTAATGAACATATATATTATTTTATATGTGACTATTGTCATTCTTGTACAACTTTCTTGCACTTGAATTATCCAAATATTTTAACTTAATATATAGCAATATTCTAAGAGGTTTCTTGTAAAATCTCAACCCGATCCGATGACGAAGATATAATTATAATCAATAGCATAAAATTGGTTGCTATGTGATTTTACATCAAAAATCTAAATTTTTTTATTTCATTCTTTCATGGATTGTACTGATTATTCCACTGAATTATTGAGATCATTTTATTAGTCCTAATATATTTATTTTTCTTTTTCATCATTTAATTTATTTACATGCGTATTATTATTTCACAATATTATTATTGATTTTTCAAACAGGGTTTACACCAACACTTTTTCATGTTATTCTTTCTTTTTTTCTTACCTATTTATCATGTATGTAAACTCAATTTTATTTTATTTTCTTATTTTGTATTTATTTTATCTTCAAATTTCTGAGTTTTAAAATTTTGTCACATTAATACCCCATCTACATTCATTAAAACATCTTCTACTTCTTCTTAAAATTTTACCCAGGGTTTCACATAAACTATTAAAAGAATTCATTCCCGATCATAGGAATTTTCCTTTTAAATTTATATTTTTTTTATAAAAATCAAAAAAGGACTAACATGAATTTTTACGTACAAAATATCCCTTTCATGATCCTTTAGTGGTTATTTGGTTATTGAAAATCAAAATAACAAATTATATATCGTCTATGCTAATTTTTAAAACAAATTAAAGGGTGGACGGGATTTCTTCCACCTTTTAGTATAAAAAAAAAAGTTTGGTCACCGTCCACCCTCTAGTACAAAAAAATATATACATGTTGTGTCAGCAATGGGCCAGGTAAGCAGATCCACTCATCTGACTTGCCTTGTTCTTCTTCCTCTTCTTCTTTTATATTTTTTCACTGTTAAGGCCATTCAAATAAAAAAGTTCTTATTGCATATCATTAAATTTTCAAAAAAAAAATTATAAGATCATATATTTTTTTAATTATATTAGAAAGTACTTTTTTCTTTGCAACACTTCTTATTTTATAAAATTTCATTCAATTGCAAAAAAAAAAGGTGCTATTTGATCAAATATCATTTGATTTTTTTTTCTTTTGAAAAAAGTCATCAATGTAATAGATCCATAGTGCCACACTCTTCCACCTACCATTCAAGTCGTGTGAATGTGCTCATTGTTATAGGGCTCTTTATTAAGCCCCAAATCACTTTTTCTCTAAATTCATTCAAATAAAATAATTACATTTATTTTCAAGTTTGTTTCTGAATAAGATCATTGCTTTTTCTTTTTTCTATATTAGCAGGCCCATTTTTGTTAAGTCAGTAATATTTTTTGGCAGTTTTTAGTAAATGTAATTTTTATTTATTAAACATATGTATCATATTTTCAATTTTACAATTACAATTTTTCTTAATGGTGTAAAAAACTTTGTCAACGCATATATTTTTTCTAAGTTGAAAAAAATAAATAAATTTTGTCTAAGCCACGGTGAAGTGCGAGGACGATGCTAGTATGATCTATATCCGCAACAATATTATGTTCTTTAAATAGCTAAATTCCATATTGTTTTTAATAATGCAGAATTCATTTAACCGTCGGTTGATACAAAATACCTATAATGGAATCAAATCACCTGGTGTTCTACCAGCACGTTCAGCACGAATTTATGGCGATAAGTCTGCTTTTTATGATTGTGCTTTTTTGGGTGTTCAAGATACATTATGGGATGTCAGTGGCCGCCATCACTTCTCTAATTGCTATATTGAAGGATCGGTAGATTTTATATATGGTGCTGGCCAATCTTTTTATGAGGTAACTAAGACTCGTAATGTATTAATCTTTTTACAATAAGTTATGCATGAAAATCATTTTGCAACTTTAAGGTCCTCACCTTTTTTCATTGTTAGATGGTAAGATATGCATATCATGTCACTAGACTACTATACTACAATGGGTTGTGCACTGAAATCTTACCACACACACACTTACGTAGGACTTTTTTTGGTAACCGTGGGGGTTTGGACAAACTTATACACACCTCAACTAGTTCCTCAATGCCTTGAAGTTAATGACCATGTAAACTTCTAGTAGCCTTGAAGTTTGTGGTATTCGAACTGGTAATTTCTGGAGAACAAACTCAGGATCTGACCAGTTCAACTACACCCCTCAGGATTACTATTTTTAATTTATTATGAAATGTATGTTATGGTTGATGCAGGGTTGTTCAATAAATGTTACCAGTGAAGGTTTTATAACAGCTCAAGGCAAGGAGTTTCCTGATGATACCAATGGTTTTGTATTTTCTCGTTGCTATGTTACTGGAGTTAAGGGTGTTAAAGCTTACCTTGGAAGGGCTTACAGAGGATATTCAACAGTAATATATCACAACGTATATTTATCTAACATTGTACGGCCTGAAGGTTGGTTTGCTTGGAATTATGTGGGGCATGAGTAAGTTATGCAGAACTTCATATCTATATATCTACTGTTTTCTATTTTATATTAATATATCTTGATTTTCATTTTTATTTTCATTTTCATGTTTTCAAGGGGTAATATAACCTATGTGGAGGCTGATTGTAAAGGGCCAGGAGCAAACACTTTGAATCGTGTGAAATGGGAAAAGAATTTTACAATACAACAACTCAGTCGATTCTCAAAGTCATCATTCATTGATCAAGATGGCTGGCTTGCCAAACTGCCTCTTTGATATTCTTCACGAAAATTTCCTTTGTACTTAGTGAAGAATAACATATATTTATAAACAGTGTTGAAAAAATAAATTATAGTATACTTTGAATTATAATCCAATCAATATAGTTATCAATTATGAAGAAAATTAGTGTCATCCCTTTTAACTCTACCAACAAAGAAATCAACAAAAATTCATGTCATAACAACTCCTTATCCAGAAGAAACGGTGGTGTAACATTCCTTTTAACTCTACCAACAAAGAAAGTTCTTATTTTTTCTATACTTGTGATATGTTGGTAAAAATTGTCGGTAGCAATCAAAAAAAGATGTTTTATTATTGTTTGTTAACTTGAATCCCTTGTTACTTTTCATACAGTATGAATATGCTAGTTTTTCATGTATGCTCCAACTAAAAAACATTTCATAATCAGGAAAATCATTGATAGTTCACATTAAAGTTATCTTCATCATAAAATTTTGTTTTCTCAATATATCATAAGTTAAAACTCCAGATGACCACAACTGTTTTAACTCACCAATCAATAATCAAAGAAAAACATCTATATTCTAAACTAGTATTGGAACCGGGTATGACCGTAAATAAAAACATGAACTCTGACCTCATACACATCTCAAGTAGCAAGTTGTAAACCATAAGTATCACTTGCCAACAAGAATAAAAAGTAACAAATGATATGAATGGATTGATCTCGTATGTACATAACTCAAGACGTACGTTCCTTGATTCCACTGAAAACTAAAAATGCATAGTATTAAAGTGTTTATAGGTTTAACCATTAGAAGGCTACACCATCACTTCATCCACCGTATTATATGATTGGTGTCATGTCATGTGCTTAGCAGTCTCTAATGACAAGAATAATATCTACGATCTAAGTATAATTGGGAAGTTTCTAAGTTTTCTGTGTGTGATAAAATTCTTTCCCCTTCCAGTTCTAAATTTATAAAAACAATGCCCACATGTTTTGCACTCGGTCGACTATATATTTTCTAGGTAGTACAACATGAATAAATTTAGACACGAGTTAATTCTCTGGTATCCTAGATCAAAGAGACTCATCATGGACTTAGCAGTATAGAAGTTTTATTTTAGTCTGTTCCCTTCAGGTAAAATACTTTTTACCCATTTGACAATTCTATCATAATCAGCCTCACTCAACCTATGATCCGACTTGATGGTGAACACATGTGTAACAACCAATAATATATTATGATTTGTATAACCATTCTATAATGGTTTGTCAGAAATTTGCAAAAGATCAAAAAATATGGTCATATCTGCATTAGGTTATTCATATATGATTGGACATTAATCGTTGTCGTGACGTACATGAAATCTAATGACAAAGCTGCCTTCTAAGAATGGTAAAATGAGGTTTTTAGATTTAATCATAAGATTATGATTAAAAGATTCAGGAGTCATCACCTATTATTATGATCACTAAGAAACCTAATGGTCTGAGTAAAAGGACTAGTTATACAAGGGGAAGATGCATTACCTCTAATACAACCTATATAAGGTAAGTGCATTATTGTTTGATTGTTATTTTAAATTATATTTTTGTGTTGTTGGTCTTGTCTAAGGTACAAGAAAGATATCCCTTCATGGGGAAGGCTCTATCTGAAGTCTAGATTTATTTATTTATTGGATATAGCTAAGTCTTAGCATTCTGGATAACAAACTAATTATAATGGGATTTTTTTTATTATAGCTAAACCCTAATGAAGAATTATAAACCGGTTACAATATTCATTTTTGCATTTCTTAAAACATGATAAAAAGGTAATTTTATCAGTTTTTTTAAGAAAATATGCATGAAAAACCTTTAGAATTTGGTTGTATGCATGAAAAGCCAAACATTTTTCTAATAAAAGTTGATTTTTAAATTTTCAAAATATATTTTTTTTAAGTTTCAGAAAAACTATGTATTTTTAATACCAAATTTATATCTTACAATGTAAATCTAAAACTCGATATTATACAAAATTATTGAAAAAACCATATAAGGGACCCACAAATATTATTAAAATGCCTTTTGAAAATTTTGGATTTTTCTTTTTTTCTTTTAAAATTATTTTATTATTATTAAATATATTGGCCTGGACTCTACCTAGCCATCTAGACTGGGCTGAAACGAGTCCAGCCTGACTCGGATAGATTGGGTTGGGTTGACTAGTAACCCAACACTTATATCTCTTTTTCTAGAAAATATATTTTTTTATTTAATCTAAAACTGGATGTATATCAAAATTTTATTTTGATAATATTTTTTATTTACACAGTCCCACTTGTATTTGTTGTAATTCAATGAAAAAAATTCAAAAATATCATAACTCGAAACATACAAATAAAAAAGCATATAGTTGTGAATCTTGAAGTTTAGATTGTTGTTACATTTTAGGAGTAATTATGTAATGTTTCTTAATTTTCCTTGAATCGTTAGAAATGTTTATAGAATAAATTAATATATTTTATTTTAATTTATAAATTAATATTAGAAGCAATTAATAGAATCCCAAAATGAATCACAAAATCCTAGAGAGACTACAAAAAGACCAAGTCCATCTTCAACATATAAATAAACCACATAATCATAAGCACTTGTTAAATTTTAACCCTAGATGGTTGTGGAAAAAAAATAACAGTTATTTGTTTTAACCCTAGATGGTTGTGGAAAAAAAAATAACAGTTATTTGTTTTGTATTTAAAAAATATTTGAATTTTTTTTCTATGAAAGGACACAATGTCCTATTGGACCATTGTTTTCTCTTTCAATAGGCCCGGCCTAATCCTGTCCAAGGCTTAATTGCAAATCCCCTCTAGGCCATCTTTCCTCATTGCCAACCCATCATACGTTGCTTCTCTGCTAAGAGAAACATCGATATTTATGCCTCAAATGATGGTTGGTTGGTTTGCTTTGAGATGTGGAAGATAAGGTTTGTTCATTGACGCTGTCAAAGCCATTTTTCTCACCCTTGAGAAAATCCATTCCATGGTAGAGCGTGTGGAGCATATGAAATTTAATGTTTTGATTGATAACACTAAGCAACAACCTGTCAAGGATCAAACAAGGTTTTAGTGGTCCACTTTCCATGCTATCAACAAAGTTTTGCTAGCCAAAATTAAGTCTGCATACCCTACGATTGTCAAGTCCCTTACTGTTAAGACATGAGACCAACCTCACCATGTCTGCTTGATAATTCAGCTATCCAAATTGATACAAATCAACAGTTCTGCAACCCAAACTGTCTCATGCAGTTAAGGTGTTGTCATCTGCGGTAAAGAGGTAACCTGGACGCATTTTACTGCATATGATACTGATTTTCTTAGCATAATCTCAAAGCATTAGACAATGTCTTTCAACATGAAAGTTCCATAAAAAGATGAAAGGGATGGGAAAAGACAAAAGCAAATAAGTCAAGAGACTCATGTACTCACATGCCTCTCTGGGTTTCTTGGCCTTCCCATGTGCTTCATCACAAATGCGTACAAAAATATTTTTTTGTGCAGATAGCAATTGTGTATCTTAAATAATTGTAATTGCATTCTGTTTCGATAGTTTATTCAACTAACAGCAAATCAACAATGCCAGAATTTCTATAACAGCTTTTTATAAGATATGTATCTGCTTATAGTTACAAATTCAATAGAAAGCTGCTCTAAAGCTGATTTTGCAGATGGGAAAAATTAATAAAGAAGTAAAAAAGAAGAAGAATGAAACAGAGAGAAAGACTCGTGTGAGATTAAGAAACAAAAAGGAAGAAGAAAACTTTGAAACCACTCTTTTACATATACAGTGAAAGAAAGAGAATTGCAATCAAGAATGCCAGATTCCATTTAACATACTACGGAATCTATTTGTAGATAGCTTCCTCACAAGTCTTTTAGCATCAGAAACTTCAGCTTCTGCAAGTTTTTCTATGTTCTTCAGATAACCAGAATTGACAATCTTTTTTCTTCCACTATTGCAACTTGTTAAGGACAATAATATAGAGATCAGTAACTTTTTGCTACCTGAATTTGCCTCTTCTTGGTCAAGCAATTGAAGAAGAAAGCCCACATTGCGATCGTCCTGCACGAATCTTTTACGGTTTTTAGGCACAGAAACTAAGCTGGAGAGTGCCACAGCTGCCATTTCTCTAACTTCAAATGATTTTGCATCAAGAAACTTAACAAGCTCTGACATAAATCCAGCATCCCCCATTGCCTTTTTAGTCTCCTCTGATTTTCCACAGAGCCTAAATGCTGCTTTCAGTGCCAATTCCTGAACCAAAACATCTCCATTCCGAAGGAAGAAAAGAAGCTGATCCATAAATCCATAACTCATCAACACACTGATATAACTAGCTGAAGAGAAACATAGATTCTCAATTGCCCTTAATGCCATCTCTCTAGATTTTGAAGAACACGCGATTTTTGGATCAAAAACGCGTACTAATGCCCGAATTCCGCCTTCTTTGACCACCGATTGCCTCACTGATTCGTCTCCAGATGCAATATTTTGAAGGAATTCAATGGAACTTATCTGTACACCTTCATCTTTTGATCTTGCCAGCTTGATAAATGTGGAAACTGCACCTTCTTCAATCATAAATCTCTTTATTTCATCAACACCAACAAGATTTCTCAATACCCCACAAGCAGGGCTAATAAGTTCTGCTGTGGAATCAACACTTGCACATATTTTCAATAAAGCTGTAACGCCACCATATGCTGAAACTGACCAGGCATTATCAGAATTCTGGGTCAATTTTTGCAAACTTCTTGCAGCACCCGCCTTGCTTATTTCACTGTGACTCTCCAAAACCCTGATCAAAGGCCCTATAATCCCAGCTCCAATCAAAATAGACTTGTAAGAATCAAAACCTGAAATCACTGCCACAACTTTTACAGCATCTTGTTGAAGTTCCATTTCCATGGAATCAAGAAGACTAACCAATATATTCACTAAGTCACCAACTTCAACAATTATCTTCACATACTTCTCATCTTCA